AACACTCCCAGTATTGTTGTATTGGGTCCATAGGTTTGAGATGGTCTGTCTGGATACGCTGAAGTGCCTTGCCACCTCATGCTGCGATGCCCGTCCTTTGTAAACGGCCGATGGCTTTATGTCGTTGAGCGTCTGTTAGTCTTTTCATTCTCTTGTCGTCTATAGTGGCTTAAAGCATGTGGAGTACAATTGATATGGCTATTTAAAGCCTTCAGCCATAGGCTTCAGCTCAGGGTGATACACAATTTCATGATACACGTGTATTTTATGTAGGGTGCATTTTAGCGATTCACCACAGACGTGAGTGTAACGTTACGTTTTTGTTCAACGTTTCTCTTTGCAAACGTTTTGTCGTCGGCAACCATTCCCTACGTGTTGGGATTCAGCATGGAATGGTTTGTGTCAAATAATAAATTTTCGTTTGTTGATAGATCAGTGTCAGCGACCAGGGAAGAGAAAATCCCAAAACCGTTTTGTAAGTCACGCCAAACCCTTACAAGTAGTCGTTGACTGATTGGTGAAATCCGTTCGGCCGTCTCACGTTTGTTTGGACGGTCCTAAGTCGCTCAAAGGTTAGCTGACGCGACCTTCTACTAGGTTTTGTTAGACTCAGTATAGCAGTGGCTATAATAAAAGTGAAAGAGACCCGTTAGACCTGTTTAGACGTATGCATAGAGAATATAAGTAGCAAAACACGTCACAAAAGATTGTTTGCCCAAAATGATGATAGATGCAATTCCCTAGTTTCACGGTGAATACTTGACATGGTTTTGCATGTGTTTCGGAAAGAATGCCTGTCACCTGTCCATATAGTAACATCCATTGCTCCAGAAAATCTGTACAGGAATGCAAACAGTGAGAGTGTAACGTGATTTGTTGTTCTGTAAATGAAAGTGTGTGCTTTAAAGTGATTGGCAGGAAACATTGATAGATGTGTACCATTTGCTATCATGGATACAATAAATGAATATTTAGTCTGATAAATAATCAATAAGTCCGCATAGCTGTCTTGTTAAACATTTTGTTAATTAAAATCATGTTTTAATTGAGTTCAAGAAGGGAGAGTGAGTGAGTTAAGTTTTATGCCGCTTTTAGCAATATGCCAGCAATATCCAGACACCAGAAATGTGGGGGACACCAGAAATGGGCTTCATAAATTGTACCCATGTGGGGAATCGAACCCGGGTGTTCGGCGTGATAAGCGAACGGTTTCATGTAATTTCTGAAGTAAATAACGTTTTCGGGTTACATTGTCGATAATTCTATGAAAGTTTCAGATGCAACCAAATAACCGTTAATAACATGTCATTGACCAATAACACAGAATCTTCTTAATACCAACCGTATTCACTGGAACAGATTCCATGAGGAGCAAAGGGCAAAATCACGGTTGAATTTATATGAATTTGTCAGGTATTCCCGTTTGTAGAGACACGTCACTTTATTGTAACCTCGTTTCGTTGAAGTTGTTGAAGAGTCTTATATATTTTCTTGTTAATGACAGACCCGTGAAGATCTGGGTTAGACTGACTGAGTTTGGTTTTACGCCGCTTTTAGCAATATTCCAGCAACATCACGGCGGGGGACACCAGAAATGGGCTTCACACATTGTATCCATGTGGGGATTCGAACCCGGGTCTTCGGCGTGACGAGCCAAAGCTTTAACCACTAGGCTACCCCACCGCCCCGATCAGGGTTAGAATTGATCTTCAGTAACCCATGCTTCTCGTAAGAGGCGACTAACGGGATCAGGTGGTCTGACTCGCTGACTTGGATGACACGTGTCATCGTATCCCAGTTGCGTAGATCGATGCTCATGATGTTGATCACCGGGTTGTCCAGACTCGATTATTTGCAGACCACCGCCATATAGCTGGAATATTGCTGAGTGCGCCGTAAAACTATATTCCCTCACTTATCAATAATGCACTTGCTCTACCAGCTGGTATATTTACCAATGCATGTTCAGTTTGATGAACTTATAGATCAAATAGAAATGCTGGGACGTCAAACAATGAAACCCACAATTTATGCTTAATCTCAAACAAAAAATATTTTGTGTTTCAGTAATGTTGACCCAGTCTTCATTTGGATCCTGATGTCTTAAACATGTTAACAACAGTTTCAGATGTATCAGTTTATAAAAATGAAATACCTGGATATACATGTAATCATAAAGAAACACAGTGTACAGACACGCGTGAGAGAAAGAATACCAATATGTTGTCAATTTGTATAAAAGTCAAACATAAAAACAACAGAAGACAAAAAATGGAGGAAACAATTGCTAGCAGACAGTTCAACTCGTTTAAAGTGACCTGCACGAAGAAATCTTAGGGAGGCAAAACAACATCACAACTACCTCAGAAAATAACAAATAACGAAGCCAGTCCTTGAATAGATACAATTACTATTGTATATATTCGTTTCCACATGTATTTGCATAAAACAACCCATATCTTAGGAACTTTGGTAGCATATACACGTGCATACGTTACATGTATGATTCAATGCTAGTTTTATCCGCAGCTTTCTTTCTTTCGGATGTTACGGGGGTGGCAAACCGCAAAACGTCACGGGCAGTTGATGTTTGTGTAGTTGGACAACCTAATTACAAAAAAAGAGTGGCAATATACTATAGGAACAGGTGACAAGCGGAACCTGTCTCACATAAAGGGACGCAACTCCACACATAAAATGGTGACGAGTTAGAACAGTGTCATACCGAGATGCACACGTTGTTTCCCGATCAACATTATATGAAATACGAACTTAAGGTATGGTGCGTTTCAAGGATAGACGGTCATATACAGCGCGCCTAGTCAATTTCGTCGATTACATATTTATCGATATTTGTCAAGCTTACTAAAGTTCGTTATAGGAGGTTAATACATTATTCTGCAATAATACGTTACTGAGTAACGATCAGTAATTCAAATACTCTTTCATGTTACAGTTGATTTACAATCTGTGATGTCACAATCGAGAGAGACCCAGTGAATATCCAGTTGCCCAACTGGATCTAGGCTAACGCTAAGTACTAACAATTACATGCAAAAAGGAACCCCAGTGACTTGAACTTGTCGAAAATCTAGACTTGCTTTATTAATGGCCATTGCATATCATAAAGTGTTGGGTGGAGAGGTGAAAACACAGATCCAGCTTACGATATTTCCAGGTATGTACACATCAACGCTGTCGTAGTCTACATGCATTACATTCGTTCGAATCAAAGCCAGTGTACTAACATACGTATTTGTGTGGAACATAAAGTATGAAATTATTAAACGAAAGTTCATCGTCCACTGCGAAGCGCACATAAAAGATTCACGTTCGGATCATGAATGGACAACAATTTGCTTTACGCAACTTGGGTTTTATGCTTGTTTGAATTGAAGATGCTTGTCATCGAAAATATTGAGAACATGTTTTCTGGAGATATGCTCATGGTGTCAGTCTCCGTTGGTGTTTCGTGTTAAAAAAAAGGAATAATATGGAAAACAATACATAACAAAGTATCGAAAGTACATACAGTATAATTGTTATAGGGTGCCTCCGTGAAACTGATATCAATATTGTATCTACAAATTTAAGAAGGAAGGGAGATATATATAATATTATATAGATGGAGCTGAAATTAAGGTATGTGTACAAAGAATATAAAAAAGGAAATTGCTATGTCTATAAGCTGAACTTGGTGTGAAGCTATTAGGGCTGACATTTGGATGAGTATGGGCTTCTACGGCAGATAAGGGATCAGTGTTATTTATTAGGGCGGAGAAGGTTGCTAGTTGAGGAATGAAAATGCTGGGGATGGAAGGGAATGGCTGCTAGGGATGGGAAGGGCATGAGTATAGGCTGCTAGGGATGGGAAGGGGATGAGTATAGGCTGCTAGGGATGGGAAGGAGATGAGTATAGGCTGTTAGGGATGGGAAGGGGATGAGTATAGGCTGCTAGGGATGGGAAGGAGATGAGTATAGGCTGTTAGGGATGGGAAGGGGATGAGTATAGGCTGCTAGGGATGGGAAGGGATGGGTATAGGCTGCTAGGATGGGAAGGGGATGAGTATAGGCTGCTAGGGATGGGAAGGGGATGAGGATAGGCTTCTAGGGATGGGAAGGGGATGAGTATAGGCTGCTAGGGATGGGAAGGGGATGAGTATAGGCTGCTAGGAATGGGAAGGGGATGAGGATAGGCTGTTAGGGATGGGAAGGGGACGAGTATAGGCTGCTAGGGATGGGAAGGGGACGAGTATAGGCTGCTAGGGATGGGGAGGGGACGAGTATAGGCTGCTAGGGATGGGGAGGGGACGAGTATAGGCTGCTAGGGATGGGAAGGGGATGAGTATAGGCTGCTAGGGATGGGAAGGGGATGAGTATAGGCTGCTAGGGATGGGAAGGGGATGCGTGTAAGCTGGTATGGATGGGAAGGGAATGAGTATAGGCTGCTAGGGATGGGAAGGGGATGCATATAGGCTGCTAGGGATGGGAAGGGGATGACTGCTAGGGATGGGAAGGGGATGAGTATATGCTAATTGGGATGGGAAGGGGATGAGTATAGGCTGCAAGGGATGGGAAGGGGATGGGTATGGGCTGCTAGGGATGGGAAGGAGAGGGGTATAGGCTGCTAGGGTTGGAAAGGGGTGACTATAGGCTGCTAAGGATGGGAAGAGGATGGGTATAGGTCGCTAGGGATGGGAGTTGGATGACTATAGGCTGCAAGGGATAGGAAGACGATGAGTATAGGCCGCTAGGTATAGGAAGGGGATCAGTATAGGCTGAGGTCAGGTTAGCATAGGCTTCTGGGACTGTGAAACGGATGGTAATAGACTTAAGTAGCTGTTGTTTGTGATATACTCTCTGGGGTATGCAAGAGAGATTAAATATGTCAAGGCATTAGTATATATATATATATATATATATATATATATATATATATATATATATATATATATAACCTTCGAAGCATTATAGGATTTGGATTTGTTATTTCATTTTAAATTGTACTTCGGTGATATTACATCACATAACCATAAGCACATGCTACAGTAATATTTGGAAGGGGCTGTTTGAAGGTCCTCGGCATTAAACGGGCACCCAGGTGATTTAAAAAATCAAATTTCTCAAATATCTTCTCATGGGGGTCCAGTCCATCTGGTAGTTGTATTCAGTGGCAATATCGATGTGGTATTAAATTGTTCAGTCCACCTATTACACCATATTATCATTTGGAGTACGACAAAACAATGCAAAAGGAAAAATATAATAATGTTCTAGCATTAACATCTATCAACAAAAGAATTAGTAATTAAATTTGTAGAGTTTTTAGACTTTAAAACCGAGGATATAACAAACACATTTCAAACATGCATTGTGTATAATATTTTGTGTGCTGATCAGTATGTGCTGTCGCTGTTGTCAGTGATTGACAATGGCCTGGCATACACGTGCTCTCCATCAGTATGTTGGTCCTTGGCGACCCCCAGTCGTCCAAGTGTAGTGTAGTTGATTGTGTGAGCGTCTGCGACAGTAGCATAATCTGAAGGGATGTTTGTCGCCACAGAATAGATGGGTTGGTTAACCATGTGCAGTGTTTCGTATGGGCCGGTTTCTTTCACACGAGGACGTCTTTTCCGCCTGGAAAGATTAAAAATAATATTTATGGTGTTACCTAAGAATAGTTCGGTTCTAACGCACACAGTGTGTCCCCGTGGTATCTGTTCAGTTAGTGTACACTCCATGTACGTGGTATCTGTTCAGTTATAGTCCGTTTGACTTCATTTGAGACCGATGAATTGCTCACTAACACAAAATCTAATAATTACAACAAAACCAAATTGTTCACAGCCTCATGAAACCGACAGATCAACTCTGATGATTTGTCTCATTATTTTGGACACCCGAATAAAAAAGTTGTTTTACAAACGATCATTATTTTGTTGTCATTTTTCGCTATATCTTACGAGGGGTGACCACTTGCTGGTAGAACAGCCAGGTAATTAACACGCGCGTGCAGTGAAATTTCAATTTCACAGTACAACTCGCACACCTGGCTGTTCTACCAGCAAATGGCCCCCCCTCGTCAGAAAAAGCGCAAAATGAGTTAGTGGTATGTGTTGCTATTCATGGTTTCTTGGGCAATCTAAGTAAGTGATATAACATCACATGTACAAGAACCTTGACACCCACATAACTTACATTTTCTGTCCTTTGATTGTGAGACAGACAGACCAGTTTTAAACTTGCATGTCCATGGCCCAAGTCGTGTTTTAATTAATAACAAATGTCTCAATTTAAAATGAAAATGACGAAAATGCTTTTTAAACGTAAAACCTAAAACTAGTAATTCATTAAAAAATGAGACGGTCTGTGTTTTGTGCTCGGTTATCATCAATATAATATTGACATTTTATTGAGGTATAAGTGTGAGGTTCTTGAAAGGTATTTAGAAGTTGGACGAACATGAATACATGACACCTTTTTTATGGATAACAACTTCTTTTTATTCTTTTTACGACGTTTCAGATCTATTTCATCAGGTGAATCCGATCATCCGACAATCCATCACCTGATGAAGGAGCAAGAACTAGCTCTGAAACGTCGAATTAAAAAAACAAAGAAGTTGTTGTCCATAAAACGTGTCATGTATTCAGGGTATAAATATGGTAATCACCTGACAAGCAGAACTGCCACAACGATCACGATGACAACTATCAACAGCAGGGCAGCCCCAACGGAAGATCCAATAATAACTGAAGTTAAGTATGATATAAATATATTTTAAAAAGTCACATTATGTTAGATTATACAGGCGACAAACGCATATTATATTTTCACACAGTTATGGATTTCAAGACAGTATTTCAGTACTTCAGTTAATATGGATAGAGGGATCATGTTTCTCGGAAGTCATGTTGAACAGGAACGTCAGGTTGTTGTTGTACTGTTCATGTCATGGAAATTGTTTAAGTTTTAACTTTTTCTGACTGCAAAAATCTATTGAAATACCATCAAAATGTACACCAAGTTGTTTCTAAAGATTTGATAGAGTTAATCTTAAATCAGCTTAGAAAATTAACATTAACATATAATTATATATACTCCGCACATTCATTGTACGGGTTAACTATTGAAGGATTATAAATCATGCAAAATTGCTGAGTATTTACACGGCAAGAACTATATGATGTATAGGTAACACAAGCAACGAACCAAGATGAGTGTCATTGGATTTTCCCTCATTTTCGTCATTCTTCAGTTCTGAAATATAAATAAGATGTAGACTAGTGAGTGAGTGAGTTTAGTTTTACGCCGCACTCAGCAATATTCAAGCTATATGGCGGCGGTCTGTAAATAATCGAGTCTGGACCAGACAATCCAGTGATCAACATCATGAGCATCGATTCGCGCAATTGGGAACCGGTGACATGTGTCAACTAAGCCAGCGAGCCTGACCACCCGATCCCGTTAGTCGCCTCTTACGACAAGCATGGGTTACTGAAGATCAATATTCTAACCTTCCGGACCTTCACGAGTTTCTTTCGCACGAACGACTGCTGTGGGTGCAAGTTGTAGTTATTATATAATGCATCCTATGCAAATATTTGTGTCATAGTACGCTGTATAAACTGAAACCATACACCATTAACGGAACAGAGCAGTACCGTTGTAGCAAAACTTGATTATTGCTAAAACCGCCATAAGCCGTACTCACAAGTATGTGATGACACACGTATGATTAGTTATGGAAACAATCTGATGATTAGTCATGTGAATGTTGATCATACCTAAGTTATATTGTGTATAATTAGGAGATAAACATACTGTGTTTGAAAATCAGAGGTATATAACGAAATTATGAAAGTTCTAAATTTGATTTAAAACCATAACAGCGTTACCAACATTTTACAAAAATACATACTGTGTTGGGAAAAGTAGAGGTATATAGTCCGTTTGGCTCAAAAGCGGACAGATGAATTGCAATCTAACTCGAAAACTAATAAACATAAAATACTCAATGAAACGCTGATCATAATCGAAACATCATACCAACTCTGTGATTTATTTGCAGAATCTTTGTCCCAAAAATAAGAAAGTTGTTTAACAAACTATCATTAAAATATTGACACGGTTCACTGTTTTGTTACGAAGGAGGAGTACAGAGAAAGGGACAGCCAGGTGTTCGAGAAGCACGTTCACAGACAAAGTTATTTATTCATTAACCTGTGCTGTGCCGTCTCCATTCGTTCTCGAACACCTGGCTGTCCCATTCTCTGCACTCCTCCCTCATAACAAATAGTGAACTGCGTCAATATTTTAATGATAGATTGTTAAACAACTTTTTTGATTTTTAGGACAAATATTCTGCAAAAAACATCACAGAGTTGGTATGATGTTATGGATTTCAAGGCAGTTAGATTGCAATTCATCGGTCCGATTTTGAGCCAAACGGACTATAGAACGTGATTGTATACCTCTGAATGACTTTAATTGTGAAATCGCAATCCAGTATTTACTGAAGTCATGGTAGTATATAACTTGAACATTACAACTTACTCTCGTCACACTTAGGTCCAGTCCATCCTGGCTCACATCCGAAAGGACACTGACCATTCACGTGATTGCAGACACTTCCTGTTTGGCAGTTGGAACAGATCGATGTACATCTTAAACCGTAGGTGCCTTGACTGCACTCTGTAAAGTACATAACAAACGGCATAGTGACTGTATCATGCTGTTCGTCAAATACGATGTTTATATATATCATTGAATGAAGTTTGAGAGCATTCATTTCACGATTTGAGAAACAAAGAGTGAACATATATGGTTTTCAGCCTTAACAAGATGAAATACACATTGTATTTGACAAACATCACGGAAGAGTCTATTCTTGTTTAGTACCAATGGGGGTTCAGAGAACATCAGCCCACTTCAAACCATTTATATATTTACCGGCAGTAGAACAGAAACACATTACACCAACAGTAAGGTACATTTTACGGTGCTTTCGTAAAGCGTAAGAAAGCATTTGAAAGGGTGAATGGAAACAAACTATTGATTTTACTTTTCAACAATGACATTCATGAAAGATAGTTTAGATATTATCAGAGTATGTATGGTCATGTTAATTCTGCAGTTTCTAATGGTAATGGAAACACATTGTATGTGGTCGATTGTGTACGACAAGGATGCATTCTAAGAACCAAATATATACCAGTGCAATATCAGTCAAAATATCTCGAAACTGCCCTTGTGTCAATTGTATCCTCAAATAATGAAAACGTTATTCTCCATCTTGCCTCATATGTAAAACATGCGTTATCTTTAAGAAATGAACTGTTGAGCATTGATGAACTTTATTCCTCTCATCCTTGTATTATTGTGTTCATTTACATATATATGTACATCATGTCTTGTCCTTGTATGTGGGCCGGAGGCCTTAAATACAATAAACACTTTGACTTGACTTGACATTCTCAGTCCTTTATGTTTCTCAGTTTTATGAGGGCTCTTGTGGAATGTATTGGTTGTAGGTGAGACGAGAATGTGTTCATATTAGAGCAAATGTACAGCATAATGAGTTTGCTTTTATAAGATTATTTCAAAGTTTCAGAGTAAAATGTGATGTAGGCGTTAAAGATTCTCTCCGCCCTCAATGTAAATGTCCAGGAGATGAAACACACATATGTCCTGTGTATACCGGTGTTGCACCCATTGTAAACATGTAACAAAGAAATAAGCCAACGATATGATATCATTAATACACTAGACATTAAGGACATATTCGAGCTGATGAAGTAAATGTTAAATGTTTTTCATATTACAATGGAAATGTAATGTAATTCATTACCATGTTGATATGCAATGTAGCATAACTGTATAATATACATGTATGTAAGTTTGGTAATGAACGCAATAAATTGAAATGAACTAAAAATACGACCAAAGTAAATAATATACAGGGTACAGGGGACAACTTACTTTCGGTACACTTAGATCCAGTCCATCCAGGTTCACATCCAGCCGGGCACTGACCAGTCACGTGATCACAGACACTCCCTGTTTTGCAGTTGGAACAGATCGATCTACATCCAGAGCCGTATGTGCCTTCACGACACACTGCAAAGTACATAAGAGTGAGTGAGTTAAAATTTATAGTCACATCGGCAATATTTCAGCCATATTGTGACTTCAAAAGTTATAAATTAACAATAAACACAATTACATTATAAAACACCTGTTAACGACACTAAAACAACTAGATTATCATCGTAATAAATTTAAGACTAGTAATTAAATCTAAAATATTTTACCTATAAATGACAATACAATATAAAAACCGGCTATAGATTGCCAATAACTGAAGGTAGATCACCATACTAGGGACCATTGGGACTTACAGTACATTTGCTTCTTGCATGGGCCCTAGATGGATTTACATCATCCCTTCGGCTGTCAGTATTTTAGATACATCTAGCCATACATTAAAATTACACATATTCTACGATTATAAAAAAGGAAGGTTTAAATTTACCTTGAATGTTTTGGGACTTATGTACCCTCTCAGGAGGACAATAATTTTACAGTACTTTAACCCCCTTCGAGGATACAGCCACTAACAATCTAAGTTACTAAGTCAAACGTCTAATCATAAAATAGTTATGTATTTACAAATCATTTAACAAATCTAATTCTTTTAAAAATGCAATAATTAAATAAGAACTGATACTATTAAAGATCCTTCATAGTTCGAGATTTAAAATAGTTATCCCTTGTGATGGAATATTCAACACAGTCAATATTTTAAGATTAAATACAGCAAGAAACTATCAAAGGACATTAAGTAAATGTATACACGAACTATAGATCGCTAGCAACTAAAGATAGACCACGGGGACTTGGTGACCCAAACTGGATTTACACGTAAATATCTGGCTTGAATGGTACCTCCGAAGCATATTTGGATTAGAGGTTCTGATGTCATTAAACGCTACATGAAGCGAGTAATGAGAAATTCTTATATTGAGTGAGTCGGTGAGTTAATATTTAACGTCACATCGGCAATATCTCAGCCACATCGTGACGAAAACAATTTATACAATAAAGATGAAAACATTCTGAAGAGTAAAACCTGTCGACGATGGAACAGTATAAACACTAAAGTGAGTGAGTGAGTTAAAATTTAACGTCACATCGGCAATACTTCAGCATTATAGTAACGAGAACAGTTTTGCATACACAATAGACACAGGTTGTTAAATATCCAGCCATAGAAGGACTGTAAAATAACTAGAGTATCACAGATGGTGTGTGAAACTAGAATGTAAATCTAAAACTATTATATTTAGGAAGACAATACAATATAAAAACAGGCTATAGAAGCAACTGAAGGTAGATCACCATAATAGGGACCATGGGGACCTACAATACCTTTGCTACCTGCATGGACACTAGCTTGATTTTCATCATCCCTTCAGTCGCTGGTGATTATAGTCAAATTTAGCCATAATTAAAAATTACAAAAATACTACCTCAGAATCATGATAAGTTTTAAATTTACTTTGACAGTTTCGGGGCTTACGTACCTAATTCTTACATTGTGCATCTCACACGGCAAATATGCTGTCCGGCACGTTTAGATAGCCTAAGCAGTTTGTAATGAGGAAGCATTTATCTTTTTTCTTGGTTGTGCTAAACAAAACTGGCATTCGCATCTCATCGATAAACGATCACTTTATATTCAACCATGAAATCAGAACTTCAGTTCGAATCGATTATCCAAAGTATTAACGTAGTCAATTGCAGAAATCTCTGGGTAATATTTAGAAGTGGATACAATGCATGTTTTGTTCAAAACGTACGGAAAGATAAATGTTGTATCGGGAATAACGACTTCCTCTGCGCGCAGTGTCATATGTGATGAAGATGTAAAGTACGTTTCCTTTGCTTGCCGATAGACCTTACAGTATGTATGCAGTATGACCTTGCAATCAATAAATTGTACTGAACGACCCAATCAAAGTAAATAATAAACAGGTGCCAACTTACTCTCGTCACACTTAGATCCAGTCCATCCTGGCTCACATCCGACAGGACACTGGCCATTCACGTGATTGCAAACACTTCCGGTTTGGCAGTTGGAACAGATCGATGTACATCTGGGACCGTATGTGCCTAGACTGCATTCTGTAAAGTATATAACAGCATAGTTATTATATCATGCCTTCGTCAAATATGATGTGTATATGTCATCGAGTGAAGTCTGACAACAATAATTTCCCGATTTGAGAAACAAAGAGTGAACATATGTTTTTCAGCCTTCACGACAAACAAACAAACATCATGAAATAGTCTATTTATTATATAATTTTTTATAATTATATATTTTTATGGCAAAATGCAACCTTTACATGTACATTAAGTTACCATCAGATGTCCAAGTGAAATTCCTAGTCACTTGTGCACTAAATAGTCCCTGATATTTAAAATATATCACTCGCATAACACACCGATCTATGTGTTTAAAGTCCAATGTTTACAATTAATAATAATTATAGAAGAACAAGAACATTATTAATCATCAATAACCATATTTATAGCTGCTTTGTGACGCCAATGCGGGCTTTAATACGTGTAAACAACACCACAGCAAATCATTCCAAAGGGAGTCCGCTTCATGGATGTTTGTTGAACAAAAGTCAAACAATAACTATAACAATGTCAGATTTTTGTTGCATAAAAGTTAAAGGAACCGTTTCACACCGTTATATACCATTACGTACTAAATGCCATAGTGCCAGTTTACTGAGAGAGAAGTTGTCAGAAGACGAATCAAGGGAGACAACTTCCCAGAGCAATAGTTCTGGACATTTGTATTTGACAGAAGTGAAAATAATGTTTGTTGACGGTGAAGTATGACTTTGTGATGAAAAGCAGACGTTTTATGCTTATCATATAACTGCATATGTCACACTCATCCAATTATTAAATCAGAATATATATGGATACAGAAAGGAAGCTAAAGTGAATGTATGTGTAAATATTTCAATTGCATATTTTTAAAGTAAAACGTGGTTACATGCAACCAGTGGTATTTGTTTTGCTATTGTCGTATATTGTTGCAGAAAAAACTCACATTCTAAGGAGCAAATATAATGCAGGCTGGAATTCAGTAGAGAATGACAACGTTATGGACTGTTTATTCCAACGTTTATGAATCTTGAACTTAACCAATCTTATCTACGACATTCAATGCAATAGAACTGGAATGGAAACGTTCGCACTGTGTTACTCTGGTTCTCTTCATTCACAACCAACATATTCCTTCCTGTCCATAATGTTCAGTTGTGCATTCGTGAAAGTGCATGTCGTGCTATTCTCTACTGGGACCCTGTTGTTTACTCAGCAAGCTGCTTGAGTATACTGTGGCAGCCAATCTTTGGTTCAATACAAATCATTTTGTAATTGATATCTTTCAGCTCAATGGTGGCATGGCGTTTAAATACACTGTAACCTTTCCACTGGAGCCCAAGTGAATGTTACAAAAATGTGGGCAACAATCCTGCTGCAACACTTTGTAGGGGCAGTTGTGCTCTACCAACTGTTATAACTTTTATGGAGATGTCGAAAGAGATTGTTGTGGTGCCACTGCAGAATGAAGGTGTTTGAATAATCAGAAGCAGCACAAATTGCTCACCATCATATCCTATGGTGACAAACTCAACAGATGGTTCAATACAATATCTCAAACATCATCCTTTTATTCATGAAAGGGCAGCGCCATCGCGCTTATGGACCTAGATAAGGAATGCAGTTTATGGCGTTCAGTACTTATTGTATCACGACTGAAAAAGATTGGTCATGAACGTTTAGTCTTCAGTATATCTTTTCTTTGGGTCTGACGGGATGGACAGTATTCAGTCAAGGTGAAAATGATTATACTCAAGTCCCGATATCCAGTATATTAACGTTGGTGTTAGGCACTCACTAAAATGACTGATATTTCATGCAATATACAACAGCCTATACAAACACACAGCTGACCTCTACAAGTATGTTAACCTACTTGTTTTGCATAGGGAGCCTGTCCAGCCATCTTGACATCCAGCCGGACAGACTCCAGAACTTTTGTCACAAGGTACACCAGCCTCACACAGACCACAGGACTCACAGGAGGCGCCGTAGGTATTAGGAAGACACGCTGACCAGAACAAAATGTGTATTAATAAAAAAAACCTAAAAAATGTATTTTGAAAAAGAAAAATACCCAACACCAACCCAAAACACATCAACAACGAAGTGTTATCAGAGTGTTTTTGTTGTAATTTTAATATCACATTGCTTAAGTGATAGTGATTGGGTCACCATGTTTAATGTTTGAGTGTGGGTTTAAGCTCGCATCTCGGATCATGTATGTGTAATGGCAATAGTATTTTTAGCGGTACGTCTTTTGAGATAGCACTTCAGAGTTGCCTCCCTTTGCTATCTTTTTATTTGTTTTGACTTCCTGGTCTCGACACGTCGTGTGCTTTCAACGTCGTTCTGGGACGATAATGATGGAGCCTAGCTTTGCTAGAATGCTCGATAACTGTGTAAGAGCTATATAAAGGCTGGTTGTTGTGTTGTGCGACACGGGACTTTTCACATGACTGGATTTATACACATCTGTCTGCCATTGTCAAGCTGACCAACCTTTCAAAACCGACCATGCTCGTCTATTCAACTGCTGTCATTGTTAACAACCTCCAATAAGAATAACTGTTCTCATTGTGAATGTCAAGACTCTGGTGAGTTAATATTTTATATTTGTGACCCAATATTTTAGATTTGTGACTAGTAAGTTAGTAAAATACATAAACACATGTCTACATTACGCTAAAATCAATAAATCGATTTGTGTATCGATAATTAAACACGGGAAAAGGGCGAGAGTGAAGTGGCTAAGTGTCAGGTAATTTACCTCTATCACACTTGTCCCCTGTCCAACCTGGCTCACACCCAGCGGGACATACACCTGACACCCTGTTACAAGAGACACCTCCAGCGCACTTCCCACATGAAGAACAGTCGGGACCGTAGGTACTGGTCGGGCAGACTGGCAACAATAGACAGTCAAACCATGTTTACAATTATAAGAAGCATTACTGTTTCTGTACTACATCAGTGCATGAAAACTATGATGCGGTAATTGAAAGCATTTGTTTTGTTTGTGTTTTCAATAGCTTTGATAAAGCATTGTAGAAGTCTTTGTGATCTTCTTGCATGTACTTTGTAGTCAGCCGTAACAATTGGGGCGTTTATGATGATGAATATTTGATTTGGTTTACAAAGTAACGCATAATGCCCGCAAGTTGTCAATAAGCTCTTAGTAAGGATGGTCAAACCTGTTTTACAGTCGTGTCCAGTCGATCCGGCGTTACACCCAAGCGGACAGGTACCATTGACACGGTTACACGTTTCTCCTGTACAGTTGCCGCACGTCAAAGCACAATTTATGCCGTAGGTTCCCGAAGAACAAACTAAGAACAATGCAACGGAGGTCATTAAACATCCATGATCTGATGCAAAAAAAGTGGACACCCAAATAGGTATAAATACATTACATCCAATGAAAGCAAATATCGGTTTCACCTACTTGGGTTGCCAATCAAGATTTGAAGAGGTCATATTAAGACGATGTCGCATCGGCCATTCATGATGCCTGCATTGATTTTGCCTTCACAAGCGATAAATATTTCAAGTAATCACATGAGAAGGATCTTTTAAATAATATTACTTCTATTATTAGTCCTTCTCTATTTTCTATTATCAGTCCTTTTTTCTTCAAAGGAAATTAAACTCATTCAAACCTTTTGATATACATAGTTGTTGTTTTTTCTATAATTTTTTTGTGTATAATAACAAAGAGATATTTTGTGGGTGTATCCAGAAAAGGGGTTGAAGCATTGTAAAGAAAGCTCCATGAGACCATACTTTCAAAGAATGTTATTCCTACCATACTTTCTATGGTAAATTTTAGCTGTTGCCTTAACGCGAGTATAATTTGCACTTTAAGAGAGGATGTAACTTAGGCTCGGGAACCGTATAGGAAGTAGAATCTAGTTGGTATACTGTCCCTACATGACAGCGCTTTATAGCATAAATATATTCAAAATTATGTATGCCTTTCGAAAAACAGAGATGAAACATACAACTTTATGGATGACAACTTGTTGTTTATTTTATTTATTTCTAGAGCGACGTTTCGATGTTGATACACCGTTATCAAGGTAAAAGTGACTACAACAAACGATGAGAAGTATATATACGTAGTATGTTTTACTTCACATAATTTGTTATCGACATACTTAGTCTCTACAAACTGTATGACTGATTTGTTGTACTAGACATGAGCATTGCAAGCTAGACATTTTGAATTTAAATGACTTTGCTAAAGCTGCAGTTTATGCGACCGGTCCAGCTCCGACTCAGGCTTAAGGGATCTGGCCTACCTATTCGATCATAAAAGTTTGTTTCGTTCGAGTTTGGGTAGGTTTCAACCAAGTCTGTCTTCAACACATGGATGCTCTTTCCGATCAAAGACCCCTTCGCGATCCTCAGTGTTGGGACTGGTAGTACTATAATACTTTGATGGAGATGTAAGTGGCTATACCCTCGAGGGGTGTTGAAGTAACGCAAAACAATTGTATGTAAGTTTCACATAATTTGAAGTATTTTTATGCATGCCTGAAATTCATAACTCTGTATATATGCGATTTTAATTTTTGACTAAACGTAACAATTATTACCAGTGACTGAGGGAATGGTGTAAATCCAGCTAAGGTCAATGCAGGAAGCAAAAGTACTGTAAGTCCCTATGGGACCTAGTATATGATCTACCTTCAGTGACTGGCCACCTATAACCCATTTTTATATTGTTCTCGGTAATTATGTCTTTTTATGGTTACATGCCAATTTTAAATGTTCACATGTGATAGTATAGCTGTTTTACTGTCCTTCCTTGATAGGTATTTCTATTGACTAAGAGTATTTTATTAGGGATATTTTATAGTCACGATATGGCTGAAATACTGCCGATGTGACGTTAAATTTTAACTCACTCACTCGCTCACTCAGTGTCGGGCACTACTTGCACGTTACTTTCTTATATCTAACTGCTGCACAAAAAAACAAGAACTTTGAGCAAATCAAACTATTCTCGCCCGTTTACCAAATTGTTCTTGCCAACGGTCAATATATTTTCTTCCATGATCGAGCTACTTTTTAACACATTCGCCCAAGATACTTCAATAAAACTTTAAATTAGCTTAATCGAGTTGAAATATGTTGAATTTTGACACTTGCTGGAATACATTTCCACATTTGCATCCCTATAAAACTTATCTTGTGAGGAAGGAAAAGTAAAAGGCAAGCTATTTAATAACACCATAGATGAACTGAATTAACATTAGTGGAATATTGCGCCATGATGTATTTATTTGCGCACTGACATTTATTTGCGAATGTAAAACTTAAGTTGTAAGTATTAAAAAAGTATTCTGGCTCAGGATAGAATTAGTTTGAGTTTTCGAACAGTATGTTTTTCAATTCTTTCCGACCTCAGTAAACAGCCATGAAAATAGCAGGTTTTGTTGGAAAATCCTTTGTTAGAAACCTAGTAAAATAGGTGGTACAATTTCATACCTTGCGAGCAATTGTGCCCTTGGTAACCAGCGACACATCCACCCATACACCAGCCACTGGTCTTTTCACAGACGGTTCTTTCCTTGCAGTTTCCACACGCTCTACAGTCCTCTCCGTGCTGGCCAGAACGACATTCTAAAACAGAAATTCCTAATTGAGGTAATGTTCCTCACCTTGTACAACTGAGTGTAGCTGCAGTTGAAATGTAGTGAAATCTTTAGCCATCATTTAAATTTCACCGCATCTGATCTGGTGAAGTAGTTTCTGAGACGTGAGATGGTTCACAATGTTGTCAAAACCTTAATAAAGAGGATGGGAGTTAGTATTTAAAAGAGTCCTATACGTAATCTACCAAATACAAGCGATCAAAAAAACCTCATAAAGCAATCTCACCTAAAATTCCATGGTACAATAAACATCGTACGTTACAAATCTTTATCAAATATTAATGATTTCAGGTGTTTAAGATGTTACCGCATGTCACCAGTCGCTAACACATGCAAAGATGAGTCAGTTGTTTCATTGTGCAAAGTAACTGAATGTTAGAGACGCATTGTTGGGTGAATCGCTGAACATCACAAACGATTTTCTGTTTTCAACGCACCCTACGTTTTAGCGTTATCCTTTACTAACTTTCAATCATATGCATTATGAATGCACAAATATTGTCGTCGCAGCCTTGGTACATTAACCCTCACAGTTTGACACCTTCATCGCAAAGGAGGACGGACGAACGATGTGATGTGATATAAGTTAACTTACCCCAATGATTAACAAACACGATCCTGAACTCGGTTACGTGAACAGTTTAAACACCTACCATATTCGTGATGATTGGTTGGAACGTACAGTAGTTTTGGCACTATAAAATACATTTGTGTGTCAGATAAAGTGATCCATTCATCATTCCTCCTAGTTCCTGCAGTTTTAATTCTATAATTGTGTTGATGAACGATGAAGAAGGTGTCATCTGGGACATATAATAATATATTTGTGCGTTATAATTTGCATGCTTTGAAATAAAATAATAAAATTAAGAGTGTTAATATTACCCGTCGAATTTCTGTTAGAAAAGACATGGATTCCAGCCAGCTGTCTCAAAGTACCTGTTGTCAACATGCCAACAGTACCTCCTGTAGCAGGCAGGTTGAGAATTGCCCTGTGAAAAAACGCTAAAATAAATGGAGAAAAGTTCATCTACCTTAATCGTTTGTACAATGCTAATACATTATGGTGCTATCTATTTTCTATTGTGTTATTGCCATAAATGATGTTAGAAGAAAATGTTACAGTTTGCCTAAAGATAACACTTACCGTCAGTCACAATAATTGCGTTTAACTGTAAAATCTTCGATGCAAGTGGTCTTTTCCTACCTTCTCCTCCAGTCGGTGAAGAAAAGCGCTCCATCATGGTACGATATCCCGAAGTATTGAGCGCCAGGTTCATACAGCAGTTCTTTTCTCTGTGTTCCATCTAAAGACACGGACTCGACCTTGTGTGTCTTGCCGTCGCACCAGTACAGAATTCCATCTAACGTGGAAAGAGAAACGTAGACTACCGATCGTTATACATTGGCAATTACTAGCAATGGGCGCTTATGAAGATAGTTACTGTACATAGATCAATGGGAATACCATACGTACATAAAGGTAAAAATAAGCATCATTGCCTCTTTTATGAATCTGTAAAGCGTTTTGTGAGTTGCAGCAAGGTTATTCTTCTCCTCAAGACACTGCATGTAAACTCGTCGCAGCGGTCGTTCAGAGAACCTTCCCTTGGGTCTATACTGATATAAATAGAACTTCCCTTGATTGACACTCATGTCTGTACCGTCTCCGAGTATAGAATCATCACACAATCAACATTGACGTTTAGCCTGTGTCCAACATCCTTGACTTCAGTTCTGAACCTGCTGTCCTAAGTATGACCTAAGTATGTATGGGCTAGACCTTCCAAGGGACTGTCAACAATTTGTCTCTCGAGTAAACTGAATGAACCTACATCTCAAATCTTTCTATGTCTGATGACAATGTACTTCCGATGCAAGCGATTCAAATGCGATGTCCGCATATTTAGCATCTTTTCCTGAATTTTGTCAAGCATGTTGCTGTCACAAAAAACAGTAACATAAATATATTCACTGGCCTTATGAAAAGGACAAGATCAGGTTTGTTGGCAGTAATTGCTCTAAGGCTGTATATAGGACTATTCCAAAGACGTTTAAGAGCATGATTTTCCATGACGCCCTGGACATGTTCAGAGTCGTACCATAGATGGACCTCGGAGTCAAAGCCAGGGCGAAGACGGGCCATGCCATCATGCCGTTTAAAATATACTGTTTGTGCCAAGAAAGGGCATCCAGTGACAAGGTGTTGGACAGTCTCCGTGAATTCATTAATAAACAGTTAATGTTAATATTTTCCATAAGACTCACATTTGTCAATTGCGAGTGGGAAGTGATAGGTCCTGGGCAGTGAAAAGGAAGCCCTCAGTTTCACATTTAAGACCAACCGTCTTCATCCAGGTTAAGAGTCGGTTGGATTGCTATTCTGTTCCACTCACTGCATATGCGAGTATGTACGATGCTGTGGTTTTTCCAACAACGACTGACTCTGGGTGGACTTGGTGAATGATTTCACCTGGTTTACTCCCATTGCTGTACCGTCCAGCACTACATCAGTTATGTATATATTATATAGTATATTATTGCACGGCATAAACATGTTAGAAACGCGCCAGATACATATTCTTCTGTAACTATAGATGCTATATGAATAAGTGAAACAAACTAGAACTAACTTTTCTTGTCAATTGTAAGCCCATTTGGCCACGCCAAACCGGTTGTGACTATCTTCCTGATGTTACTTCCGTCATAATCCGCTGTGGAAATTTGAGGACTTGCTCCCCAGTCTGTCCAGTACATCTTCCTGAAAAAAAATTGTTAATTGTAAATATTACATATATATTTCTTTTGATTCACAAGAAGACTGGATAGAACAAGATGTCACCTACCTCATTGCCTCATGAACAACAATGTCCCTGGGCTCGTCAAGATCCTGTGTGAGGATGATTTCGTGGTTACTGCTATTCATGTCCTGGACAGCGATTATGTCATTTCCAGCGTCCGTGTAAAATATTTTTCTTGCAGATGAATCGACAGCGATCCCGTCAGGAACTGCACCTGTTACATTCATATATAACTACCATGGGCATTGTAGTATGGTTTTAGCCTAATAACAGATTCCGAAATCCTTTCTTTCCCTTAAAACAATACCATGGTTTTAGAGTGTGGGAGAATAACCAGTCTCAATAATCAGCTAATAAAAAGTCAATAGGCGAAAAATGCAAAATATCAGTGAAAATTATATAAATTAGTCTCCATCTGGAAATTTATAAATATGAATGGATAGAACATACTTGAATTCAAAGATAGGATGATCCGAGATGCCCTTGTGGTGAGATCTGTGGCACTTATCTGCTTGAGTTGAACATCTGTCCAGTACATTGTGTTCTCCATAGGGTCATAGTCGATGGCCACAGGGCGGTTGCTTACGATGACACTTTGAAATGTCGTTACTGGGAACTTAAACTGATAAATTTCCCCCGGATTCCAGTTTACTAGAAGTATAGTCAGTTCAGGATCATCTGTCAAGAGATTCATTTCCATAATTTGCATTGCAGCAATCTCATGGCCATTGTATAAACTCACAGCATAACAAAATGCCTTGGAGTCAACTTTGTGTGCAGACCCTGTCAGTGTGTTGTCACAACCCTAGTGTACCGTACACAGCTCTGTGCACAAAAACCACGAATCCGTTGGTATATGACCAGATGGCGGCCACATGAATACATGCAAACACCCAATTGCGGGTACGGCAACGTGCAGTACATTTGGACAAAGTACTGTGGCTATGTGTCCCAGTCGACCAAGCTGTGAATGGGTACCTCGTAAGGATGGGAAAGCTATATTAAGTAGTGGCTGCAAGAGTTGTATGATCCCGAGGGAGTTGAGACTGACTATGTGCCGTTTGAGATTGACATCCAATGATCGAGGGAAAACAACGCGCTTCTGAGCAGCCGAGCTGGATATTGGCGCTATACAAATATCAGCATACTAATAATAATAACAAAACCCAAACAATTATTTCACTGAATCGAGACAGAGAATGGTCGTGTGGTTTTCGTTATGTTTTGAGATGATATGAACTGTGTATTTTAAGGTTGAATGAATAACCGTTTAAAAACATATTGTGTTGAAATTGAAAGCATTTCTTCCATAACGAACGACTTTGGTGAGTACTATGAGTTTATTCTTGTCTGTTCATAATCTTAAATACAGCGATAGAGTTCAGTGATACCTGTAATGTACATTCTTAACTACCCTTTCCCTTCACTATTTCGTCATAGAATCGTCGAAGGTCGTTATACGCCTCCTAACTAAATCCTCAGTAGAAAAATACATGACAGGGGAGCGTTTGTACACTTGTTGAAAGTTCATTGACGTCATGTCAATAGAGTATGAATACCCGCTGGCTTTCGTTAATTTGCGATGATAACGGCTATGCATTTTCAGCCTTACTAAAAGTAGTGTTCAACCTTGTGGTGTACAACAGGTTTAACGTAAACTACTTCCCTGTCGGGTTAGTACTATAGACATATTCTTTTTCATGATGTGAAGGAGCCCTACACTTCATTGAAACATGAGTGTCTTCACATGTGGTGTTGCATGTTTAAGACCATTTCAAACGTCAGTGTATTCTCATATCAATGAAAATGAGTTTTAAATGATAGAGAATATTAATTGGAAGTTGGACAGTTTAATGTTATACAAACGACGAAACCAATCGCGCATGAAATTGCTGCTTTAAGAAACATATATCTACATATCTGCACATTTAAACCTTTTGAAAGCCTCACTGAGCCTTGGAAGTTGTGATACTGACTTAAGAGTCATGTGACACTCTTTGAAGTCGGTGTAGAACTGAAACGTTCGATTTATTCCAAACGGTGTGAAAAGAAGAACAAAAGCTGGAGCTGTCCGGAATATCGTTCTAAAAAGAGGGGGAGTAGACTAGAAGAAACATGGAGTCATCTACATGGAGTCAAACCTTCAGCACCTTGACGCCACACTCAGCAATATTCCAACTATATGGCGACGGTGTGAACAGCTTGTTCAGCTTGCCTTGAGCTACTCTACATATGCATCACCCGGGAGATCGAATGGCAGAAACGGCAGGTCGAGTTAACTTCATTAAATAGGGGAGCATAGAATGCTATTAATGTTGCTCTTTGTCCGAATTGGTAACATTAAACCATCTGTAGCTTCTTTTTTAAGAAAGGTAGGACATTGCTGACGATTTCTCGACACCGGATGTTAAACGGCGACCTTGTCTCGACTGTTGGGACATGTTGACAATCAACTGACAAAGGTCCACCCCTTCATAATAATAGACCCAACCAGTTGTTACACGGTTACGCAATGCATTAGTATTCACGTGATCAGGTCAAGCTGAACAAGCTGGCAGTGGTCGAATCTGGACCAGACAAACCAGTCATCAACAGTATGAGCATCGATCTGCGCAACTGGGATTTGATGGCATTTGTCAACCACGTCAGCGAACCTGACCACCCGATCCCGTTAGTCGCCTCTTACGACAAGCATGGATTGCTGAGTAATTTTCTTTACGTGTCCATTAGCACGTTGAGATCTGAACGTTCTAGCTATGAAACAGATTAGGCAGTTTCACATGTTTCACTTTTATTTCTACCTCAGGTGGAGCGAGCGAGTTTACTTGTTCGATGCATGTCATCGCATCCCAGCACCCAAGATCTATGCGTATGCGGGACCTCCTCCGTGGTGTAGTGGTAAGAGCGTCCGCCCGGAGAGCGGAAGGTCGCGGGTCCGATCCCCGACTGCGTCATACCAAAAGACGTTAAAATATGGCACTTGTTGGTCCCTGCCTGGCGCTCGTCATTATTGGGTACAACAAGGACTGGTCGGCTCGGAGTCAGTATATTGTGTCTGAGTGGGGGTATTGATGCTTCACTGCGGCATGATATCTCAGTGAGCTAGCACTATAAAACCAGTTTAAGTCTGGGATAGTACAAGCAGCCGCACATACACATACACACGCATGCACGCCGTCATATGAGCGAAATATTCTCAAGCACGTTAAACCCAATTTCACCTCACCTCACCTTTGCATATGCGGTCAAACATCGAATTTTTGGTCCAGACCTGATTATTTTCAGAGCCATGTACAGGAAAATACGGGCACGTTTATAACGAACGGACGGATATGAGGAGATGGTTTTAGGTTCAGGACATTTGCTGCATGTTTTCGTCGAAGTCCGTATAGCGCACTACGAGCAAAAATCCCATTGAGATTGTTCCCATAGAAGATAAGGCCGGTTGCATTGACATTACTTCCCTGGTGTAGTTATGTTACAAAGACAACAAGATATCGAGGCACGTCGACCCTACCGGGAAGTGACATTAACACGCCATGAAATCGTCTTTGGTTGGTTATCATGGTCATTATTGACAATCTTATTGCACAGGGTGAGGTTTTGCACCACGTCCTGCTGTTATTGCAGGGCAAATCAAAAAGGCTTACAGCAACACAAACCAGTCTTGGAGTACTGAAGCAAACCTTTCCAAGCGAATGGCATCGGCTTTCCACTAACCACATCCGGCAGGCGACGTCATCGGCGACGTGCTGGACTCACAATTAATTCAGTCTGTATGGTTTTGAACAGGTTCTACAGACGTTTGTTGGACAGGTGCTCTGATAATGACAATCGTATTTTCACCACCATGAATCTTTGGCATGTGTTACTTGAACCTTTCTTGCTTATATGTGAATGTAAACTATGAACCTCCTCCACATGCTTTCTCGGAAATTCGCTTAATCCTAACGTGTTGTATTTCTCCGCAAACAGATGCGTAAATTGATACGACACGACCAAAGAGTTCAACAAACGAAAAAATAATTATATCATGTCAGTGTGACCAGCCTTGTACCATAAACGTTCGATTGAAGTTGAATACAGTACGTTTTAGGTTCTATTGGATGCAATGGTCGTGCATGGATAAAACGTATTTAGTTACCGATACACCCTGCTGATAAGTATGAAGCAAAACTATAACCCCTCCATTGCAATAGAGTTGTTGGAGTTGGTATTGAATTATTACAATCGCAGTACGTACTTGTATGCACAATGCTAAACATTAACACGATACACGTGATGAAAAGACGCATTCCTGCATGAGCACAAGTATGTGCACAAGTAATTCACTACCAAATAATAAAGTTAACAGTTTACGACATGTCTCTTACTTCCTCTCTGTATGCATTATGCACAACGCGAGGTTCTGTCGTTTGGATTCTAAAGGGGCGTCGGGCAGCCAAGTGGTTCAAGCATTCGCTCGTAACGCCGAAGACCCGGGCTTGATTCCACACAAATGGGTACAATGTGTGAAACCCCGCCTTACTATTGCAATGAAACTCATCCACTCACCCATGGCATTATGCATGGAACGCCAGAATACTAAGCGAGCGAGTGAGTTTAGATTTACGCCTCAATAAGAAATATTCCAGCTATATGGCGGCGGTCTGTAAATAATCGAGTCTGGATCAGACCATAAAGTGATCAACAGCATGAGCATCGATGTACACAACTGGGATAGGATGACATGTGACATGACATACCGTTAGTCGCCACTTACGACAAGCATGGGTTACTGAGGGTCAATATTAATCCGGATCTTCGCGGGTCGGAAGAATAGTGATTGAAGAGCTCACGTGTGACATGGAAAAGAAAGCCAAGAAAATATCCATCACCAGGAGACAAATTCAATTATAAACACAACTAGGGTAAACGTTGAATAAATATGTGCCATTATTGATGATCACCAATGAACCACACGTCACATAGCCAATACCGTGGGCATCTGTCATATAAGAGAGTATTCTGATGCATGAACTGGACCTGACAAGCCTATCATCGCATCGTAGTCCAAGACTTCAGTCCCTCATCGAAAATTTGCGGTGTGTGAAACAAAACAATCTGATTTTGCTCATTGATGTGAGACCCTCAGTCTTTATTTCGCAGTTCTTAGTCATAAACTATAATCTTGCGTAATCAATTCTTTCAGCTTGCAGGGTGATGGGTTCGTCGAATTCGGGATTGCTCGTTACACCCTCTGATGCGCTATTCTACCTGCACAAGTGTACCTTTGCAACCCCGCCGCCATGACTTCAATGCATAACCTTCCCATTGAGGTAAATAAATATCACCCGTATACACCAGATTTGGCACTGTCATATTTCTACCTCTTTCCAAGACGAAGACAGTCACGCATTTTGTAACCGATGATGACGCAATTTTAGATCATGACGCGAAGGACGTATGTTGTCATCAGACTTTCGTTAAATTCTTTCAGTGTATAGACAACCTTGACTACATGGATACAAGTAGAGACTAAATCTAATCCACTTTTCAAGCGGTCCAAAGATCAGATCTACATAAGGATCTTGTAAGGTCACATGGGTCTTCGTGTCCTTTTGAATGTTCTGTTCTGTTCTGTTTCTGTAATACGCTGGGTCCGACTGCGTGGGATATTCCGTATGCTCTAGAAGCTT